CCAGTTGGACGATCTGGCAAAAACAGTTATGCCTCTGAATATTGATGGCAGTTCAGATCCTTTTCTTCCTTTGCCTGCAGAAAACGGTCCAATGTCTCTCTTTCCTTCGTCAGCGGAGAATCCCCCAAATTCAGTCTTTTCAGAACTGGAAAACAACGCAAGTAACTTTTCATCGCAACTAGAAGGAAACACTAGTTCTGCTTTCCCAAAAGAGGAAACTGTTGATCAAATATTTCCCTCGCGATTGAGTAATGAAAACAACTTCAATGAAACTAGTTCTCAACATCCAGCTTCAGAAAAGGTGAAAAAAGATCGTGGCCGGGGCCCAAATGGGAAAGAAAGGAAGCCAAAACATAACAAGCGGGCAAAGTGGCCAGCAATAATTAGGGATGGCAAATTTATCTGTAGCAGGTGTTTCCGAGTTTTCACTAATCCTAGATCACTTGGTGGTCACTTATCTAAGAGGTCTTACTGTAAGCCTCTTGAAGGATCAGAAATATCTCCGGAAGCTCTGCAGGCTAATGGACAGTCTTTGCTTGCCAGTATGATTCTTTCCTCAAATTCATTAAACTTGCAGCAACCCCAGGAGTCTGCCTTCAATCCAGAGACGTGTTTTAAAGATCCATCATTCCTCCAGTTACTTGCAGCTGAAAATCGTTCCACAGCCTTACTGCAGACTATGTTGCCACGGGCCAATGTGACCAACTTTAATACCGGTGGCAATGAGGAAGGAAATCAAATTATAAAACAGGCCTTGGAAACTGCAGGCATCCCGAGTACCTTTGATAACACAGAAGTACTTCCACACGTAGTTACAACAAGTTGCGTCACTGGTACAACTCAGATAAATGCAGCTGTTCTCCCCAACTCAACGGCGTCCCCTCTGCTGCAGACAGTCTGTAACTCCGGTACCCTGCTAACAGACCAAAACAGGACCCTCAACACCAAAATTCCTCCAATAAATGAATGCAAGAGTTTGCCTGTTTTTGCAACAGAGGACTTAATGCTAAAGACTATTGAAAATGGCTTATGTCCTAGCTCGTTTTCTAATACTGCTGCAGCAGCGCAAAACTTCGCAGGGAACAGTTCACGAGTTTCAGTTATAAGTAGTCCCAAGAATTCAGGATCAAGCAACTTGAATAAGAAGGGAACTAGTGCTTCAAAGAGGAAGAGAAAAGCAACTACGCCCTTGCTTGCGCCCAATACATCACAGAAAGTAGCAGTAAATAATACAACAACGATGGGACTTCTAACCAAAAGCACTGAAGGAAACGTGCAAATACAGGGAGAAAGTTTTCAGTCCAACTTGCTGGCAAATTGCGGGTCTCAAGCAGTGGTGGAAAATCTCACGCAGAAACTCAATAATGTTGACAATCAGTTATTCATCGCCAGTATCAAAGAGAACTTCAAAACAAATCTCGAGGCTCACACAACGTTACCCCCTTTAACAGTAAAAACTGAAAACGGAGATTCCCAAATGATGGCTGTAAATTCTTGTGTGCAAGCAAGTTCGGAGGAACAGATTTCAGAAGACAATGTTATGCAGAACTTTGAAAAAACCCTGGAAATAATTAAAACTGCTATGAATTCACAGATACTTGAAGTGAAAACTGAAATTCAGGATACTGTCGCTGCTTCAGGACAGAGCTCGCAGGTAAATAATGCACAGGCTTCTTCGGGAAATTCTGCACATAGTGTAAAACTACCCGCTCCCGCACAGTTTGCCGTGCACGTGGGGAACATCACCACTGCAAAGAGTACCTCTGCTCAGTCTGAGACGTCTCAAAAGGATGATACTCAAATATTGGAAATTTTGGAGGGCTTGCAAAAACTGAAACTAGAAAATGATTCACCCATTCAGGTCTCTGAGACTGTTTCCCAGTGTCCCCCAGCAGATACGCTAGCACCAGCAGTTCCTGTTTTATCAACTGAAAATAAACCCCTCGTCCAGATATCTTCAGAGGCAAGTAACATTCAGTTTAGCGATAAAGTTAATAAGCCTTTTGTATGTCAGGATCCAGGCTGCAACTATAGTGCTATGACAAAAGACGCGTTATTTAAACACTATGGCAAGGTTCATCAGTATACTGCAGAAATGATACTAGAAATTAAGAAACATCAACTGAAGTATGCCCCGTTCAAATGCGTTGTAGCTACCTGTCCAAAAACATTCACAAGAAACTCTAATCTCCGAGCACACTGCCAGCTTGTACATCATTTTACGACAGAGGAGATGGTAAAATTAAAAATCAAAAGGCCTTATGGCAGAAGATCTCAAAATGAAACTGTAAACACAGCCCCGCGACCTGTTGAAATAAAAACTTTGCAGCCGCTGATAATAGAAAACAAAACTGCAGCTCCATTGGTCAAAGAAGCTCAGATAAAGGAAGTTGTAGAGCCTGTAAAAGTCTTGGAAAAACTTCTACCAGAAAATAATATTCCTGAAAGACTGGAAAAACCTCCCCAAGTGGTTTCTGTTCCGCCGGAGCAGCATAATGCAGCCTCTTTTGGTAGTACGCAGGCACAACCCAAAGCACGCAAGGTTAGGAGGTACAGGAAGGAGAAAGAGGAGAGAAAACGTAGGAAGCCCGTAACAAAATCTCTGGAGTTTCCCACTAGATACAGCCCTTACAGACCATACCGATGCGTCCATCAGGGCTGCTTCGCGGCTTTTACAATACAACAAAACCTAATCCTTCATTACCAAGCTGTGCACAAATCTGACCTCCCTGCCTTCACTGCCGAAGTGGAAGAGGAGAACGAGGCAGGCAAAGAGGAACGCGATGAGGTGGAAACGAAACCCGCCGTCAGAGAGTTCAGGTGCGAGGTGAGTGACTGCTCTCGCATCTTCCAGGAAGTTACCAGCTTGATACAACATTATATGAAGCTTCATGACATGACCCCAGAGCAAATTGGAAACATGAAGTCGGCTCCAGAGGCGGGAAGGTTTTCTTGTGATCAGTCTCAGTGTAAGTCTTCGTTTACAGCGTATCTTAACTACGTCGTACATCTTGAGGCAGATCACGGTATTAAGATAAGGCCAAACAAAGTAGAAGATGACGGTGTATTCAAGTGTGACTGTGAAGGCTGTGACCGTATTTATGCTACTAGGTCTAACCTCCTGAGGCATATTTTTAACAAACATAATGACAAGCATAAAGATCATCTAATAAGACCCAGGAGACTGACACCAGGTCAGGAAAACATTTCAAGCAAAGCAAATCAGGAGAAACCATTGAAGTCCAAACAGAGAGGACTGAAAAACAAATCGGGAAAAGAAGGTAACAGGCTGTCAGTGAAAACAAAACGAAAGAAAAACGTGACCTTGGAAAACAAAAACTCAAAAGGAATGCAAGTTCAGGAAAATAAGGCTTATTCACTGAAACGTGGCAAGCACGTATATTCAATAAAGGCTAGAAACGATGCCTTGTCGGAATGTACGAGCAGGTTCATAACTCAGTATCCATGTATGATAAAGGGATGTTCGTCCGTAGTTACAAGCGAAAGTAACATAATAAGGCATTATAAATGTCACAAGCTGTCCAAAGCATTTACTTCCCAGCACAGAAATCTTCTTATTGTATCGAAAAAGCACTCTGTCTCACAAGTAAAGGAAGCCTCTTGTGAGCAAGAGGAGACTGATAAAAAAAGTGACGTGAAAGAGCCTGAACCGAGTTTGATAGCGAGCAATAATGATTCAAGCACATCTACGTTACCGCAAAAGGAAACTGAAAAAGGTGAGAAGGATGAAGTGGACGAGCTGACAGAACTATTCATTACTAAACTGATTAACGAGGACTGTTCAAGTGCTGAAAATCAAGCAAAAATCTCTTCCAGTGTAAATAGTGACTTGCAGGAGACCAGCTCCTGCCCCTCAGAAAAGCAAAAATCAAACAACTTAAAAAGAGCAAACAAAGAAAAAAATGTATCTCAGAATAAGAGGAGGAGAGCTGAAAAAACTGAGGAAGTACCGCCCGTTGACGTGAGTAGCGTGCAGAGGGAGGAAGAGACTGCTGTCGCCATTCAAACGGCTGAAGAGCAACCCGCAGCTTTCGACTGGAGCTCGTTTAAGCCGATGGGTTTTGAAGTGTCATTCCTCAAGTTCCTGGAAGAGTCTGCTGTGAAGCAAAAGAAAAACACCGAAAGAGACTACCATAGCAGCGGAACCAAAAAAGGGTCCCACTCGAACTCGCGAAAATCCAACGAGAAGACCTCCGTAGCAAGTCATAACGTCACTTGGTCAAGTTCTGAAACTGAAACCCTCGTACCGTTTGCCAACCCATCACAGCTTCCGTGCGCTGATAATGTAAAGATAGTTTTAGACAAGACTTTTAAAGACTGCACTGAGCGTGTGTTGAAGCAACTTCAGGAAATGAAACCTATCGTCAGTTTGAGAAAGCTCGAAGGACGTTGGGAGGATAATCCAGAGGTTACAGCTGCGAAAGTAATTGTTGTGGGTACCGAGGAAGGGGAGTCAAAATACTGAAAACCTAACGTGTTTAACCGTAACCTGTAATAAAATGTATTTTGAATAGGAAGCCATCAAGCATGCTAGTAACCGTGGAGCTCTTTTATTTTGAAGTGATTTAATCTAGCAAAAAACATGACATGAGTCATGTAAATTTCTTATTTGTTTTTATCCCTATGGGACTTGAAGAACAGAGTAATTGCTTCAGTTTTGTAAATACTTGATCAAAACCTCAACTTTCTATCAGATTGTCCTTTCCATGAACTAAATCTTTGTGAGTTGTCTGTGATTGGTATCTTTCACCAGGTCACTGCTCATGTATAACAGTACTCTTTATTTGTAGATACATTTTTTTGTATATATTTATTATTGTAAATCATTTGCTGCCACCAGCAGTCTGTAAGTCTAAACTATTAAATGACACATTTATATTCGGAATTTTAATTTGTAACTAAGTGAGCAAGTTTTTAAAACTGTCCTTTAATCATTTTAAATTAAGAACTTTTGAACTAAAACTAGTTAAGTCTGCCATATCCAGTTTATTTTGCATAAAGCGTTTATTTACAGGAGAGGAGCTGGATAAGTTCACATTTCATAGGTTAAACGTACTGACACGCTCTCATTTTTGTAAATTTTAACATCCAGTATCTATGGATGATATTCATATGTAGTTAAGTCATAAATATAATAGTTTTCTTATAGCTACATTTTTCATTGCTTTTAATTGGATACAAAGCATTTATGATTCCATAATAAAAATGGAAATGTGAATAAAAATAGTTTGCTACATTGGAGATTTAAAACAATATTTGGTATTAAAGAATCCGTTGTGAATGTGATAGAAAATTAGTAGTGTGGAGCAGTGTATATATTTGAGGTGGTGATTTGTGAAGTAGCCCAGTATTGCCTTAAATAAAATCACATTTCATTTCTTGTTTTATACATGTGATCTTATAAAGGTTATTTTTGTTTCTGTAACTTAGATTGGTGTATAGTTTAATTTTTGTTAAAAAAACAAAACAAAAAAACTTCAGAAACCGTTTTTGTAAATAGTGGGTTTATAAAACAGATGGTTTATTTTGATAATACCAATTTGGTATCTATCTATAAAATACGTGAGTCCTTATGCCATACCGCTAAAAACTGAATAAACAAGGCACTTTCTGAAAGGGAAGTGAGATTGTGATCTTACAGATAAACTCGGTGGTTGTGCTCTATTGATGGCATAGGCTCCCTCCGCGCTCCTCTGCCTCTTGCTGACTGTACCTGGCAGCACTCTCGCCACCTCTCTCTTTTCCACACTGGAACGAGCCTCAGAAGCGGTGCCGCTGGTAGAGCCCGGGATCGGAGCGATTTCTCTGTATGCTGCTAACCGAAACGACAGGTATCCAGTTTGTTGAGTAACCAAAAGCGTGAATGCGTTGGTGGGAGCTGTCAGTACCCAGGAATCTACGATGTTGGCTTTCGTGCGTGATTATGCTTAACTCGGATGGGACAAGCCAGCTGGATTGTGTGGTACCAAATATTTTTCTTGGATTATTCTCATTACTGGATGTGACCTACCTTCAGTAATATAAAATAGTCTTTATCCTGGGAGAGATTGGCTTGATTTTTTTTTTTTTTCTATAAACTTGTCTTGCCATGTAAAGCTTTGCATTAAATGCTACACTTGATTGCTCTTAAGCTATTCACCTGGAATCTTTGACAGTTTACTTGATATCAGTGCAGAGGGCACATTCCTACGACCAAACGAAGTGACCTGTGAGAGTGAGGATTATGTATGAAAAAGTGGAAAGGTGATGACTGCGTTTCAGCTTGGGCATAGCCCTTGGTTTGCTCTCTGGTGCTAAATCGCGTACCTTCTCAGAAAGCCCGTGCTTCCATTTGAACGGAGCCCGTTTGCTCCTCTCGCTTTTGATCCCTCCCGAGTGATTAAACTGATAGTTCTGCCGAGTTAGTAAATCAAAGGTGCGGTCTGAGAATGATAAAACCGAAACAAATCCTTGCGTTTTAACTCTAGGAGAGATCATTATAATGGTTATAAGCGCATGATGCCGCATTCTACCGACCAGAGGCCGCACGGTCTCCCTGGACGGAGTTGCTCTTGGATGTGAGCCACGGTGATTGTAGAGGGGATCTTCTGCAGGGGAGAAGAGGGCAGAGAACCTCCTCTGGAGAGGATCCACAAAGCTTGCCTGAAATCTCTTGTTTTCAGATTTACCTAACCACTGCAGTCGCTGTCGACAGACCTCATGACTGTTAGATTTTTAGAAGATACCTTTTTGTGTGTGTAAGTTAAATAGTTTCAACACTGACATTCCCGATGATAGATACTGCATCATTTGCAGTTTTTAGACTGAGAATAGATAACTATTTAGCTACACAGTGCTATACTAGAATGCTATTTAAAAAAAAAAAAAGGGGGGGGGAATTCCAATGTCCTAAATATCCAGGCAATAATTTCTGGTTTGGATTTGAATGTAGGGTCTGAATTTCTGAGAGTGAAAATTTTTTAATACTGTCTCATTCTTATCCCAATTAATCCAATCAAAGTGGGTGCTGTACCAGTGTATCAGTGCCCTCCATGGCACACTCCCTTTTAGGTGGGCACTGACAGCCTGTCCAACAGGTAAGCTAGTATGGTGGGTTTTTTCCTTTTTTTAAAAAAAAAAGTATTTTAAACTTAAAGCGGGGGACCGAAGGCAGGGTCTGATTTAAGATGTCATGGACTGCAGAGGGCACTATGGTTTGGTAGAGCCACCTACAAGAGTTCCTGAGGAAGTAAATTTGGTATTTGCATTTAGATATTTTACCTTGAGCGATGTATAATGCCTCCTGCTATAGCAGTGGCAGCATGCCTGAACTGACAGCTCCTCCGGAGCCTGGAGCCGTACCCCTGCCCTTGGGGCTGCCGGGCGGGATGAGGCTCCAGGGTGGCCGAGCCCAGCTCTACCAGCACCACCTCAGCCTGCGGGAGTGCCCCGACACCTGCGGGTGCTGCCGGCCCCGCGGCCCGGTCCCTCTCTATCTTCCCTCTCTCCTTCCTCCTCTGTGTCTCTGTCTTCCAGACATGTCACCCATGAACTGTGGTGCATTTCAGCAAAGACGTTTTCTTTTAAACCCCTTGTCGCCATCAGGAATGTGCTGACTAAAGCAGTTGTTGCTGCTGATGGGGGAGCAACCAAATCGAGGAGCCTGGATGCAGAGTGTAGACTGTTTTGTGATTGAAAGACATCTTTAAACCAGCAGTCAGCCTCTTTTGTGGTTAACTATAAAGAAATCTTATGTTGTCTGAGCCCTAATTCAGTGTAAATAAGAGTAGTGGGTTTGTCCTCACACGTTTTGGGGTGGTCGTTCTCAGCAGGATGGGGGGGCTGTTGGTCCTAGAGCGTTCTGCTGGGATGTCCTGTCTACGGCTGTTGGATAGTGAGGGAGCGATGCTTGTAGAAGTAACACTGAAAACGGTCGTCGGTTCAGGTGAGGGAAAGTAGTTGGCTGTATTCTTGCAGTTAGCTTCTGTGCCAAAGAATATGAATGGTTGGGGCTCCCGCCTGCGCTGGCACGCTACCCGGGGGTTTAGGTCCCCAGGGCTAGAGGAGCTCACTGAAGCGGGAGTTGGGGCAGCAGCTCCGGCCCCTGCCCTGCTTTTTTCTGTGACCTTTTTTCCAAACCTCATCTGTCACAAGGCAAGGAGATCACTTGGGTTTTAAAGAAAACAAGGATCTATGTAAGACTTGGATCTTTTAATGTTTGCAGAGATGTTTTGAAATATGAACGAGGTAAATATTTTTGTACGGAGTGCATGGAGTGCTCATGTTATTTCTCCATTACAGTATGGGCTCAGATCAGCTTCCTACCAATTGCGATGTGCTTGAAGAGACTGTACTTCTACACTTAAAAAGAAAAAAGCATAGCACTTGAATTTTTTTTAATTTTGTCTGTTTTGAGTGACTTAGAAGTTCAATACACAAAAAAGACCTTAAACCTTTAGTTTAGGGACTGAGCCTACAAACTCATTTGAACCAAAAATGTAAGAGCGAACGACTTCAGGGATGGATGGATGAGTGAAACTTGAACTGGAGCACGAAGGAGTATAAAGGCGGGGAAGGGGCTGTGGAAGGGAGGGAGCCAGTAAAAGACCAAATGCTGGCCAAGAGCAGGGGTTCAGAAAGTACATGAGCATGTTTCTGTTCTCTCAGGTTAGGTACGTTCTGACAGAGCTGCCTTGTGTGATGCTCGTTTCCTTTTCATTAGTGGCTCTGTCAAACACTCCTCTAATTTTGCAGCACATGGTGTAAAAGCCACCTGGCTGTTTGCTACGAGTGAGTTGGGGGGTTACGCAGAGTTGGTCCGTAATAATTTTTCAGAATATTTCTCATGTAAGGTACTGGCTTAGTCAAAACTGAAGTATCCTCCAAGACTTGAAACCTGTTGCTTTTGGAATTTATTTATCATTTCATGGCTGTTGAAGATAGGAATTAGAAATAAAACCATTCCAAAGAATTGAAGTTCTTGTTTTACAGGAAAATTTTGGGTCTAAGCGGGAAGCTCTGACCAGCCACAGAGCTTTAGGAGATGCTCTAAAACCCTTCAAGCCCTGACTTCATATACTTTCTTATTAGAGAGCAGCTAATGCGCAAATTTAATCAGAAACCTGTGTTGGCTAAACTGTGCTTGTTTCTCTTTGTTTTCTCTCAAATAAACCTTGCTTTAAAGAATAAATACCTCTTCATTAATGTGCTGTCTTAAAATCTGTCCTCAATAATTAAAAAACAGTCATTTTGGAAGCAGTTTTTATTTTGACAGTGTTGCCATTGTCTTAAAAAATGATGCGCTAGGGTACAAAAGGGCCGAGATAACTTTGGTTTTTGTTCTCAGTTACTCAAACTGACCGCCGCAGTTGCCCAGGGCTGGTGGGCAACGGCTTTGCTTCATGCGCTGCTTGGCGGGTTTCGTCCAGTAGCCGCAAAAGAGTTTCTAACGGCACTGCTGTCAGGAGCCGCCTTCTGTGAACGTAGAGACCGAACAGAAAACGTTCTGAACTGAGTGAAGCGCGCCGTCTCGATACACACACCGGTTCGGCCTCACTCGAGATGTAAAACTTTAACTGGCCACACGCTGGCAAGCTGGTATCTGAGAGGCTGCTGTCGCTGTTGAGTTCAATGGCAGCAAATGGATTTTCACTTTTTATAAAAGCAGGTTTAATTTAGGAAAAAAGCTTGAAAATCAGAGTCAAAAGCACGTAGATGATTCACGGCTTCTTTAAGTTAATTCTGTGACCGCTACCCCAGTACTCATAAAAAGTAATACTTTGTAACCAAAGCTGGGGGTTTTGGGGCGAAAAAATAGTTACCGTGCTTTTGCTACTGTTTCCTCCTCTTTTTCCTGGCATGACCAATAAAATCGTCAGGCAGCTCCACTTACTGCAGGTGGTGGTTTTCTCTGAAGGGTGTGTTTTGGTCAGGCTCAGTACTGCTGTATGTCCAAAGGTCTGTCATCCCAGCAATGGAAAGAGAACAACACTACCCTGAAATAAGTCTTTTTAGGTACTTAATTTCTGTCGTCTCAGAAGTCCAGGTACAAGACAAGACACAACAAATTTCTGTCCCTTTCCTGTTAGCCCAAGTGATGCGCATAACAAAGAGCAGAGACGCGTGGTGTTTAAGAGAGATTCTGAAATTTGGGGGGAGGGAATAGGTGATTCTTTTTTACTTTGTTTCTACTGGACGCTTTTCGTATTTTTAGATCTCACACATTCTTCTATGGCAGGGAAATCTACTGGAGGAGTAGCAGTATTTCCAGCCTCCCTAAAGGGACCAGATTCCAGGCTACTGAATACTAGGACTGCTGGCTACTGTTTTGCTGCATTGTGCGGTCCGCAGTTCTCCACTGAGATCCTAGGGAATTGGGAATGATCTTTTCCCTTAAATGCCACAGCCACAGAGCAGGAAAAAAGTCTAATGACTCGGGAGCTGCTCAGTGCAGGTGACCAGGCGTTAACTCTGTGCTCCAGTGTAGGCTGCCTGTGCACAAGTTTGAGCAAGTGCCTTTTGTTACAGGATGCGTTCTGATGATAAATACCCTAAAAACTGTAAAGGGCTCAAATACCTCCAGAAGGAGGTGCTCCACAAATAGCTAAATAACCACGTCCGTCTTTATCACCGTGGGCTGAACTGTATGTGTCTACCTCTTATTATTTGTTTCTTTATTTGAGATGTTTTACAGTAGTCCAGTGGAACGGGCTTGTGACCATCCAGCTCACTTCAAGACACCAGCAGTCACTGTATGCCAGTGCTTTCCGATCGCTATTTCAACAGCTGTCGGATCCACCCGCTTGACAAATGCTGTACACCCCCTCCCTGTTTAGCGTCTTAACCCCAGGTTCTTCCAACTCTGCATATAAAAAGCCTCTTCTTGCTTGTACCAAAGCAATTCTGTGTAATATTCAAAACACAAGTGTTTGAGCAATTGTTTCAGCATGATTTACTGTAAGCATCTGTGTTTATATTAAAACTTAATGGAATTTTCAGACTTCTACACCTTGTTTCAACATGAACAGATCTAGATGATTCTATGTACAACATACATAATGCGACTGAATCTATCCACTCAAGTAGGGGGGAATTAATAGAGAAAAAGTATTTCCTACATAACTATCCTTTCAGTTTTGTAAAGCGCTGACTGGAAAAGCAATTCGTCAAATACTGCTTGTGTAACAGGAAGGTGGTCTCTGACCACCTTCTTTCAAGTCAACGAGGAGCTTTTTCCCACATGTGTCTTCTATATTCAGAGGCAAGGATGGGGAGCTGTTGTGGAACTGTCCTGCAGCTGCTGGTCTGCGGTGACCGATGATCTCTGATTTGTGGCAGTCACTTTTTGAGCCTTGATGTTTCTTGATGTACCTCTTCAGGTAACATTTTATGGAGTGTTTGAAAATGAGATAACTCAATTCACTTAGATTTAATACAATGCACAGGCATGAAGTTGCCACCAGAAAACAGATGAAAATCATCTTCTCAGTGGGTTTGGAAATATAGCAGTCTACGGTATTGGGACATGGTCTTATGTCACATTTCACAAGACGCGGTACTTTGAATCCATTGTACAATTTATAAAACAGAACAAGAAAAACTATTTCAAATCCTGTTTTTAAAATAAGGCTGATAAGGTAAGTGCACAGCAATCCACCGTCTATCTCTCCTGGACTTTTATAAAGTTTCTGGTTGTGGTGTTTCTCTCTGTTCTCTCGGTAAGCAACATGAAAAACAACCAAGAGTGAAGGGGTAGAGACCATGATTAATTGCAAAGCCCAAAGTCTGATGTGGGAGACGGGGAAAAAATGGTCAAAGCAGACATTTTCACAGCCAGGCTGCTTGATATTGCATTCAAATTCATCGTGTTCATATTTCCAGATGTTTTCTGCAGCCGCAATGTAAACGAGTAAGCGGAATATGAACACAACTGCTACCCAAATTCTTCCAATTCCTGTTGAATATTTATTCACTCCACTCAGCAGATCACGTAGGAATCCCCAGCTCATTTTTCTCCTCAAGGAAAGAAGGAAATGCTGTATCAAAAAAACACAAGATCAGAGAGATGCTTCCTCTTGGGTGAAGAAAAATGAGATATTCATTCAAGGTGAAATATAACCAGTAGCTGAAGCAATTTAAAATTATTAAGCATTTGAAAAGGAAAACAACAACAACAACAAACTCCTCTTAGTTCTGCTAATTCCTACCTTCTGAGGCTATTACACAAATTTATTTGCTGTTAAAATAGGTTTTGTCGATTAGGTTGAAACCTAATAGTTCTGTTAAACTGTCCCCTGCAAGAAAATGTGCCTGTTCTTCCCGAGGGTCTCCTGAGCGTCAGGTGGAGCTTTCTCTGGCAAGTTCAGGCTAGCACTCTATCACTGAGGTATACTCAACTTAGCCCTGTCAGTTATGCAAATATGAAGCACAGTCAAATCAGATTTCACTTTCAAATTTATGTATAGGAGCCATGTGTCCTGTAATAAGTTGACTACCAAAATGCAAATTGTTTTCTTTTTTCTGTGGTCTAACTTCTCGGTAAACTTGTGCAATATTGTAAATCCTGTCTTGCTTCACTGGATTTTCTTTGTTGTATTTCTTATCATTTAAGAAATGCACTAAACTTTGCTCCAAAAATGTTTTTATTTTATAGCTTCTTTTCCACACAAGTCTTCCCCTGTTCTAACTCTGGAACACTTCTTTTGGAAGAGCTGCCTAAGGAGCCATTGGCAGCCAGACTCTCCTCAAAGTCAAAAGAAGATCTGAGATAACCACCAAGAGCATACAGCCACCTTCCCACCTGGCCCCACCTCCGAGGTCTGCGTGGATCTTCGAGGATACCAAGCTCCCTTGTTTTGTAAGAGCAAAAAGTAGATGCATTCCTAGGACACAGAATGGCTGGGAGACACGAGGAGGGACATCTGAGAAGTTTCCAGATCTGTGCGTTCCGTCTTTTAATGTCCTCATCCCATCTACTGCTCCTGCAAGCTCTGCCTAGCAGGAGAGAAAATGTACCCCTCTGTGGCTGCAGTGGCACGTGCAAATCCCGCTGCCGCTGCTGTAGCTGCAGTTGGTACTGATGTGTGAGCAAGTTCATCAACTGGCGAGTTTGAGTACACGTAGTAATTAGGCCTCAGCATCACAAAGCTCAACACAGATGGAAAGCTCAGTACTTCTTTTGCTGTCCCTTGATTCTGCAGCCCCTCATGACCTCTGCCTATGGCCAGACTTCTGCTGGAAAACACGGTTATTTGCCTATTTGGCTATTCCTACATTGCTACCATTAGAGTTGGTAACTTACTTGAGAAGCTGAGGGACAGCTGCAGAAATGAATATATTGCTGATTTATACTGGAAAGGGTGTTGAAAAAAGATGTTCTCACAAAGAATGGTTACCAAGCTACTCCTTTATGCTGCAGGTAAAAAAGAATAACAGAGGAATATCAGTTGGCTTATATCCTATCAGACATACGCTTATATGCTTTTAAATATGTTTGGCAGGGTGGTGACTTTGTCATTAAAGACCTATTTCTGTCCTCCATGTCTGCAATTAGAGATCAAGCAGAAGTTTAAATCGAGCTCTTCAAGACATCAGCACTAGGGCTTTAATGCTTTCTAGATAAATCATACACAGTCAATACATCGGTCTCAAAGGAGCTGAATAGCACAGCATGAAGATGTTACTATGTAATAAAGCACAGGCAAGGAAACAAAACATTCACATGAGTGAGCGTGAATATTAACGTGTATGAACACACCTTGTGGATGAGCTGTCCTCTGGAGTATTTCCTTCCTTTGAAGGAAAACCTCAAAAGGCCTTTCCTAGGATTTTAAGTGCACAAGCCCTATAGAAGGGCAGGCTGAATTTTGTTATTCCATGGAAAACAAGTATGGCTATGAGTGAGCTTTTGCTAATGGCCATAAGAACTGCACCATCCCGTTCTAATGTAAAAAGCCTAATGTCACCTATCAATCCATGACTGGAGTTACACCAGTGCTAAGCCTCCAGCTGAACAAGTCGGAACAGACTTGAAAGAGATGCTGGGTCACCAACAAGGCACAAAAATCAGTGGGAACCAACACTGGTGGAAATCAGGCCATGGAGATACCTAAATACAGATTGAGAAATTTACCTTGAGGTCTTTTTTCCCAAAGCTGAGCTGCTACTTCCTTACCTGAGCAGCAAGAGGGATTAGAAAAGAAGAACTTTACACCTGCTTTTGCCAATCCCACATTGAGGAGAAGGATGTGAAGGGGAAAACAAAGTCCTGCCCAAAGAAAACGGGGATCAAGGATTTGACTAAAATCTCCAGCAGATCCTGAGCAATGGGCAAATTCTAGCCAGCCAGAAGATCTGATGGATGAAATTCCTGCAAAGCGATTTTGAAAGACAGCAACACATTCTGGCACCTGGAAGTCTGGCAGCGAGGCAGCAGGGATTTCACGACTAAAGATGGCTCCTGGTCTACGTGCTCTGTTGATGAGAAACTGAAACTTATTAAAGGACTGCAGGGCAGGTCTTGTAGCCAGCGGTGCTTCTGCAGCCAGAAGTCTGCAGAGCTTTGGTTGTATTTTCCCACTTGCAGCCTCCGCTTGATGTTGAGAAATGGTTGTATAGGACAACCTTCAGCCACAAGCCTAAAGGGCCACAGAGCCTGTTTCATGGTATTGTGTGGTGGGTTGACCCTGGCTGGACGCCAGGTGCCCACCAAAGCCGCTCTATCACTCCCCTCCTCAGCTGGACAGGGGAGAGAAAATATAACGAAAGGCTCGTGGGTTGAGATAAGGATGTGCAAAACAGACTCGACTTGGGGAAGTTAGTTTAATTTATTACCAATTAAATCAGAGTACAATAATAAGAAATAAAAACTAAATCTGAAAACACCTCCCCCCCACCCCTCCCTTCTTCCCGGGCTCAACTTTA